ATAACAGTATAATTGCACCCACACTTGGGTTTGGTTTTTTTCCCCCCTTTAACTATAATTAAAGTAACAAAACTTAATGTAGACAAGGCTGCAGGAAAACAGCAGTGCCATGTTCTGAAGGTCTTTGGAAGAGCTAAAACTCCTCTCCCTCCCTCCCCCCAATTGCTTGCATTCAGCGAACAATAAAGGAAATGCCAATACTCCATGAGAAATCGCAATGGTGGGTATTTCCAAGACACCAGGTGGGGAGACCTGGGTTACTATTCCCAGCTCTGCCATCAAGTCGCTGTGTAATCTTGAGCAAGTCTCTTCCCTTTTGTACCTCTGTTTCCCCATCTGTAGAAAGGGGACAATGATTCCCCTGCCTCCTTAGTAAACTGCACTGAGATCAGTGGGTGAAAAGGTCTGTTTAAGCACTAAGTATTATTACTGTTTGTACCCAATTGCTCATTATTTCTCCACTCTGCCCGAGCACTAAAGTTCCCAGCCACAAGAGCCTGAGCTGGAAAGGAAGGAGGGGTATGGGACTGTCTTCTTTGGAGACGCTGCTCTCCGGAGCCTTCGGAAAGGTGTACGTGTCTGAATGAGATTCCCAGCCGGCCCTGCCCTGGCTTGTTTAGCAGGTCAGCCAGCACAAAGAAGGCGCTCTGGGGATAGGAGCAGAGCCCAAGGCTCCAGCTCGTTTTGACTTGCAAGGTTTGCCAAGCTCCCCCACCCAAATTTCTTTCTACTTAGCTGCAGGCCAGGTAGTTTTCAACATCCTCACTCCTCTTTCCTTCCTGCCTCCGCAGTCCCCCTGAGATCTGTCAATTATTGACCTGGCTACCAAACCTGTTCTGAAGTCCTAGTGCGGCCAGGAGGCAGCGCTCCCCCCATTCGCCCCTAACTGCACACAAAAGCGAGGGGAAGAGGGGCTGGGCTCAGAATGGAAAACGTGTGTTTTGAAGCCGGGCACAAAGAGAGCTGTTTGCAGCTGCACCCACCAGAGGGCACTGACCTGTGCAGGCTGGCTGCTGCTAAGGGAAAAGCAGTCTGATGGAATGGGAAGAGCTGAATGAAGGAGTCCGGGTGAGGAATAGATTGTCAGACAAGGTTGCTCCTCTCTCTGGGCAGCAGTCGGGGGCAGATGGGGATTCTCGCCACTCTGCTGGTTAATCAAACTTCCTGGGGGGGACATGTGTCAGGAATTTAGCTTCCCCCAAGGCCAGTCATTCCGAATTTGAATGCCAGCGCTCCAGCCCTCAGGCTGTCCGCAGTCATGCGGTGCTGGCGGGACCCTTATGGTCCCGTATCTGGGGCAAACCCTCTTGGAAAGCAAGCAGAGTGCTGGCACTGCAGGGACATGCGTGCTGGCCCGGCACCGCTTTCTGATTGTGACAAATGGATGCCACAGGTGTGTGAACATGGCCGAAGCGAGCTCATTTAAAAGTAAAGATCAATATCACGAGCACTTCTTTGCATTACTCGGCTGGCCAGGATACTCAGCTAGACGGGCAGACAAGCGTCCGAACCATAGAGTAACATTTTCAAAAGGATCTAAGGCCCGGATCCTCAAGGGTATTAGGGAGCTGGGTACTTTTGAGGATCTGGGCCATTGACTTCCAGTGAGACCCAGGCTGCTAAGTGCCTCAGTCGCTTTGGAAGATGGGATTTCGGTGCTTTTGAAGACCTTACCTGCTGCTTTTATCATATAGTCCAGTCAGGACACATGGGGTTTCGAACAGAGGGGCGCAGAAGATACAGACTGGGGATCCTCCAGATGCACCCGAAATGCAGCCTGAGGGCCAACGGGACCAGCTGCTTAAGGTCCCAGATTGTCTGAATAAACAGAAAGATCCAGCGAGATCCTGGCCCCTCCACTCTGACATTTCTGACCATTGAACAGCTGGGCTGCGGGTCTCATTTCTGCCTCCCAAAGAGCAATTTTGGTGTCCCCGAGCCATGCGCTTGCCTTGGGTTTGTGTCTAATCTAGTGATTAGAACAGGGACCTGGGAATCAGGATGCCTGGGTTCTATTCCTGGCTCTGTCACTGACTTGCTGGGTGATCTTGGACTAGTCGCTTCTGTGCCTCAGTTTCCCCACCTGTAAAATGGGGACCAATCATGCCCATGTGTCATGAGGCTTTAGTCGTGTTTCAAGCACTCAGAGCCCCTCAGGTGCGCACGTATAGGAGTGCAGCGGCTCACCCTGCGCTGGTTCTGTATGGCAGGGAAGAACCCCACTGATGAGTACCTGGAGGGCATGATGAGCGAGGCACCGGGTCCCATCAACTTCACTATGTTCCTCACCATGTTCGGAGAGAAGCTGAACGGCACCGACCCAGAAGATGTCATCCGCAATGCCTTTGCCTGCTTCGACGAGGAAGCGACAGGTATGGTAATGGGGGCCAGGCTGGGTGTGCTGTCAGCCACGCCAGCCAGGGATGCTGGGCTGAGCCAGCCAGTGGAATGGGCAGCATTGCTGCCGCAGTGAGACAGAGCTCTGCTTCCCCAGTGCCTGGCTCCCAGGCAGGGGTGTGTGGAGCTAACCACGGGGGCTGCCTTTAACCCAGGAAGAAAGGCTCCTATGTACCATTGAGAATTTGGGCCTAAGCCAGTTATCTGGGGCCCATCCAATGCCCAACCCAAAAGAGGAGCCTTTCACCCTAGTTCAAAAGCCTGGCAAGCTCACAGAGTGGAACCCAGCATCCTTGTCCTCCCTTGGTGTGTCTGCAGAGCAAAGGCATGATGTGGCCTTTGTTCAGTGCCACCTGGGAGGGGAATAATGGGGGATCCTGAGAGCTGCGATTGAGGGGCACTGTCCAGGCTGCAGGTACCAAAGAACCACTAACTCAGAAAATGCTGTCTGCCGGGGAATACTCTTCCTGGAGGGGATGCTGATCCATTGAGCTCCTTCTGAGACCCACGCTCTCCCCTTTCGACCCCTCATGAATCCCCCAGCAGTGTGAATCCCGGGCGCGGGCACTATCCCACTCTCTGTGGCCTCCAGGGTTGCTTTTCACACTGCCCTGACTGGGAAGAGGCCATCCTGTTCCTAAGGGGCTCAGATTTGAATCTCCGGCCACCTGTTCGCAGCAGCTCTCGTCCCATTGGGGTGCCATTGTTACCGTTTGCAGCCCAGTGTCCTGGGTCCCTGTAATTGCTACACCGTGTAGCTAGGGCTGACCAAATCCTTGGACCAGACTCTTTAGAAACACCCCGTTCCTCACTGCTGGGTCATCCTGGGCACTCCAGCCACATTAACTCCACCTCCTTTATCTTTCCTCTTCCCTGCCATTCGTTGCTCCCTTGCAGGTTTTATTCACGAAGACCATTTGCGCGAGCTGCTCACCACCATGGGGGACAGGTTCACGGACGAGGAGGTGGACGAGATGTACCGAGAGGCCCCCATCGACAAGAAAGGCAACTTCAACTACGTGGAGTTCACCCGCATTCTCAAGCACGGAGCCAAAGACAAAGATGACTAGAGCCGAGAGGCGCCCGTCCCACCTTCTGTACACCTGCCATGCCCCTCCTCCCTGAGCACGCGTGCTGCCTCTGGCCCAGAGTCCCAGCAGGCCGACCCCATGGAAAATGCCTTAAAGCACATGACGTGAGGCCTTAACCCTGCTCTGCATTAGGGACGAGCTGGCCCCCACCCAAATGCCCCTCCCAGGAGAAGATGAATCTTCACGCTCCCGTCCCTCAGCCCTTCGAGCATGTCAACCGTTCCTAGCCTCCTTCGATCTTGTTCGCTGCAGGTCAGTCCAGGTGGCTCCCGTTCCCACAAAGATCTGACCTCCTGTATGGAGGAGGTGACCAGAGGAAAGCAGGATAGTTACCATGGGCTCAGCGCACCAGTGCTGTAGCATCTGGCAATGTGTGTATGATCCATGGCCACTCAGAGTGTAAACCCCTGAGGGGGCCTGTTGAGGTTGCTGCTTAGCCCCTGGCCATTGAATCTCTTCCCAGTGACACCACTCCGACTCTCTCCCTCTATTTCAGAACAGGCTCACACTGGAGCTAAAAGTTCTGTTCTTCTAACCCACTGGGAATCCTTCCTTGCCCTGGCCCCACCTGCCCCTCCCCATTCTGCACTCATAACAATTTGCACTTAGATAGCACCTTTCACCTGAGAATAGCAGAGCACAGGGACCCCTGTGTATTTTCCCTGCCACGCCCCAGCCTGTCCGGCACAGATCTTTGCAGTGGGGTGGACCGGGAGGGGGAGGGGGAGGGGTCCCTCTAGCGGGTGGTGGTGGTGAGGTGCTGCATGGTAGATGGAGCGTGCACACAAGGCATTCCTGGGGGTGGCTTTGCCAGGCACAGATTTTGCAATCACACCAGCCAAGGGTGGTCAAACCATTCTGCTGGGGACTAACATTTGTGTGTCTAATTAGCCCCTCTCAATGAGGAACAATAAAATCCTGCTCTGCATTTTACCTTGATGACAATGTTTACCCATAATCCCCAGCTGCAGTGGCGTAACGAGGGCAAGGTGAGTGAGGCACTTGCCTCAGGCGCAGAAGGTGAGGGGCGCAGAAAGTCTCTTCTTCAGTGGTAAGTCCTTCCCTCCGAGAGGGACTGAGGGACCCGCCGCCGAATTGCCACCGGTTGTTGGCAAGGGAGAGGGGCGGCACGTCCGGCTCTTCGGCGGAAATTCGGCGGCAGGTCCTTCCCTCCGAGAGGGACCCGCCGCCCAAGAGCCGGACGTGCCACCCCGTCTCTTGCCTCAGGTGCAAAAATCCCTAGTTACGGCTCTGCCCAGCGGTTAGCCTGCCGTTTCAGGGCTGACTTTCCCAGTGTCGCAGTCCATAAAACAAGAGCCCTTCCACACGTTAAGCCAGTCACCGCTCCTGTCACCAGTATGGGTCCGTCACCCACTGGAATGAACGAATGGCAGTTCCCAATGTGCGCGCTACACTTGGACTGAAGAGACAGCAGAACATGGGATTTGCCAGAATGGATATGAGCCTTGATCCATCCAATCCCAGGTCCTGCCTCCCATCTCGGCCAATATCCAGAGCTTGAGAGGCAGGTGGGACCTCCCCAGAACACACCTCACCAGCTGTGCCATGCTGGGTACGTAGAGTAGAAAACCTCCTGCATTCCACTAGACAGCCATTTTCCACCCTGACACACATGCTTTGATTATCCCCCTCTCCTTACACACATACCCTCAGATATGATCCAGCCTGATTCCCAGGGTATATTACGTAACATGCAGGGGATCATAAACCCATATAGACCATCTCCATTCATTTTCCAGCAGTTATTATCCAGTACAAATCCAGACCCTAAGAACAGTGACAAGGAAAGGAATATACAACTGCCCCCTCTTTTTCAAAAAAAAAAAAAAATGTTTTCTATTTGAATAATTGTATTTTTGTGGCTTTAGAATCTGTGATTTAAGGGATTCAGAAAATTGAAATTACCTATAAAATATAAAGGATATAATACCAATGAGTGCATGTGCACAGTTACCTTATTTACCAGGTTGCCTTCTTGTTTTACTGCACGTGGTAGATTTCTGTCTTTGATTAACTTGTCCTAAGCAGTCATCTGTAGCATCAGCCGGGTTGGAAGAGCCCTCTCTGCTGGGTTATCCACTGTGTCCTCCCAGTGCTGTGCCCCAGTTGGCGGCCTCAATCCTGTGCTATCCCGGAGAGATGGGTCTGCCCATGAATTACTCCAGCAATGTCAACTTCACCTCCCCTCATGGCAGCGGGTTCTGTGGCAGAGTTGCTTCTATACGCTAGTTGTGAACTTCTTCTGAACATTTACCCCATTTTTGCTCCTGCAGCTTAAGCTTCTTGGGCCGCCCTTGTCAACTGATGAAGTTGGTCGCTCCCTTTACAACACACAGCACGTTGCAGAGGAGAGGCTGTTTTTAAACACAGGGAGCTGATTTGAAAAGCTGCCGGTTTGTCCATTTAAATCAAGAGTCACCTAAGAGGGCTGAAAACTGGCTGTGAGACACAGACCCATCTCTACAGCGCTGCACCTGCCACCCAGCCAATTAGATGTCTCCATCTTAATCGCCATTTCAGTGTCCACGGTTTCAGACCTGCTAGAATATTTGCAATAGCAAACGCATTGTTAATGTCTAACAATGGTCTGTAAGCTGGATGCTAAGGTGATAGGCACCAATGTCTCAGCCTGGATGGATGCATGCATGCAGTGCTTAATTTGTAATGAAAGAGCAATTTTTTCACATTCATCACTCATGCAGCAAGCCCAGAGGTCCTGGGGCTATGAACTGCCAGGCCTAGAAGTGCCGCGGCTCAGCCCTGGCAAGTTCTGGCACAAAGTAAGCACTGGATGCATGCCAGATATATGAACGTAGATAGCCCTGACTGTTTGCCCTATAGGGAGAAGATGCATTCTGTCTCCTCTTGCATGACAGTTCCCCATAGTAACAGAGAATACACCCTAACTGTTCTTGCAAACAATAGGGAGGTTATTTTCTGGGGCATGATGAAGCACAGGGCTCAAAGGGAAGAATCTAACAACAGTGATGATAGAATCCACATGAAAAACTCTCACTAAACGCAGCTGCCTTGAGATGCCAGATCACAGCTTGTGGGCACTGAACTCTAGATTTGGCCTCCTCTGGACCTCTGCTGCAAATTGTGGGTGGGTATCCTGAAGGGATGGGAGCTGCAAGTGTTTAGCAGGCAAATGTTCTTTTGCACCTCTCACGTGAGCTCAAGCTGTAAGAAGACAAGAATCAGGTGACATCAGTAACTCCTGTTAAAATAACTACAGCTCTCTTCCTTTCAGCAATTAAGACCCCGGACCTGCAAGGACTTATGCACATGACAAGTCCCATTAACTTCCTGGGACAACTCACATGTTAATGCCCTTGCAAGATCGGGGCTTAAGTCCCCCTCCACAACTACACATCACCACTTTGGGGCCCCAGAGACTTGAAGTGTAGAGAAACCCCAGCTCTGTTTTAACAGCATCTCTGCAGCATGCTGAAGCCTTCAATATGTCCAAAGCTTTGGGTCCCACAAAATGAAGTCATATGGTTGCCAACCTAGGAGATGACAATGTTGTAAATTGGTCTCCTGGCCCAGCTGCAGTTGTGCAGACAGGGTCTAAGGGATGGACCTACAACTTTAAAAACAAAGTTCACCTTACATTCCTGGGGAAGCTCCTGGGGGGGGTCCTCCTTTTAACAAAGCACAGTTGTTCCACAGGAGATTAGCCAGAGACCCGCTGGAGGTTTCAGCACTGCACCTGGGCAGACGCTGGAGTGCAGAAGGACATGTTACCCAGCCTGCAGTGCCATGAGATGCCGGCATTTGGATTAGCCCAAGCACAGAAGTACCTGCCCAGGACAATTCCCATGGGCATCAACTGAAAGGCACAGGGCATTCCCTTGAACAAGTGCTCCTTCTTTTGACCTGCTCATCAAAGGACCCTGCAGGACAATGTAGCTCCCTGGGACTGATTGCTGACTCATGGGGCCAGGTGTGGGGGAGGGGCAGAAAGGGTTTTCTTCTGAGAGGCCCTTCCCCACAGGTATCTCTGTATGTGAGCATGTGCAGAAACTCAGGCCTTGTCTATAGTCAGAGTTGCACCATTTTAGCTCAATTCCTTTTTTACACTGCTTTAGTTAAACTACCACAAAACCCTTCTTCCCCCAGAAGAACCCCCTTAATAACAAAGACTGTTCTTCTGGACTCTCTCCTCCAAGAGACAGACAGTTGCACAGCTGGTCAGAGTGGCCAGGAGTTGGTACACTCTAGAGAAGGGGCTGTCTCTTCCTATGGCTGTGCCTACACTACAGGTGCTACTGCAGCACAGCTGTGGCACTGCAGCTGCCTCTGTAGCAGGATAGCGTAGACGCTTCCTACAGCAAGGGAAGGGGGTTTTCCTTTGGTGGAGTGAATCCACCTCTCCAAGGTGGTAACTAGGTCAATGGGAGCTCCAAGTGTCCCCGTGTCTACACCAGGGGTTGGCCAACCTAACTATGATGTTCAGGGCACAAACTTTTTTGCAGCCCTGAGCAACGCTGCTAGGTCAATCTGATTTTTAAGTGTAGACCAGGCCTCAGTGTTTGTACAGCCAGGGCCGGCTCCAGGGTTTTGGCCACCCCAAGCAGCCAAAAAAAAAAAAAAAAAGCCGCCATCGCGATCTGCGGCGGCAATTCGGCGGGAGGTCCTTCGCTCCGAGCAGGAGTGAGGGACCATCCGCCGAATTGCCACTGAATACCTGGAAGTGCCGCCCCTCTCCGGAGTGGCCGCCCCAAGCACCTGCTTGCCAGGCTGGTGCCTGGAGCCGGCCCTGTGTACAGCACCTGGCACAGTCTCAGTGGGGGGCCCCTGATGCTAATGCAGTACTAAGGATAATGAATAATAAATGCACTGTGGTTCCACCTCCAGAAACAGTGTGGGGGCCTGTGCTGGGCCCTGCATCCTCCTGCTGTGGGACCCTAAACTGGACATTTTGGGGAGGCCACAAAGGAAAAATCAAGATCCTCTTCTTCCCTGATCAGCCCTACCCCTGCTCCTCCTCCCCCTGGCATCTGTGGCTCCCCACTCTGCTGTGCCCCATGGGGTGGCAGAAAGTAGGGGGCACAGTGAGAGAACAGGAGCTGCCCCAAGAGGGGGCCACTAGTGGCTAGAGGTAAAAACTGGCTGGGGCGAACTTTTATTTTTTATTCCCTCACTCTTTCCTCGGCAGACAAGTCCCAGAGCAGCGCACTTCACTCCCACCTCTTGTCTCGGTATAACTCGAGCAGAGGGTGGCCCCAAGAATCAGGGCAGGCAAGGACTCCACCCCTGAGAGCAG